ACGTGGGAGGCACGGCGGGAGGGTTAGGATTAGAACCAGAGGTGGCATCATCGTGAATACCTGACATGAAGAAGAGAACAATATATAAGATAGAAGTAAGTATTGATTGAGAAGAGAAACGCCGGTCACAAACGATGCAACGTCGGCGAAAGAAGAGCGAAAGAGAAAGAAAAAAAATTAGGTCAGAATCGTTAGCTCTAATACCATGAAATAGAATAAATAGAATGTAAGAGTGTGTTTATTCCATATGCTAAAGGTAGTATTTATACACATAAAAGTTGCCTTAACTAGTAGAATTGTATCTTAGTAAATAAGATTGAAGTATATCATAATATTGTTTAAACCCGTATATTGTTTAGAAATAAAATTCATTAAAAATTATATTTTTAATGATATTATTATTTTGTTGAAATAAGCTTGATTTTTGAGAATTTTGACTTTTTTCTTTTTTATTATACTAAAATTGTTTAATTAATGAATTTTTCTTTTAAATGGTGATCTTTTTAGATACATTTAGTTTCTCAAATTAATAATTTTTGTAGTGTTGATTTATATAACCGTAGTGTTGTAGAATGCATAATTGTTTTACCATATTATGTACCTAAAATTTTGGATTCAGATTGTTCATTTACGATATTTTATGAAATTCAGGAACTTTTGATTTCACATTGTTGACAGCAAAAAAAACTATGTTCAAAGACGAATGTATAAAATTTAATTAAAACATATAGTGGAATGTAAAACATACCTGATTAAACATAACAAACAAATTAAACTCAAATAATTCAAACTATTATACAACAAGAAAACTCTAAATGACTAGAATATATATATAGTTTTCCATTGACCATTATATCAAATTGAATTTACAGTTGGGTTTTATCTAACGTGAAACTAATGGCATCCTCATTGAAGGTATCGTATATAAGATACTTTCTTAAAAAAATTATACATCTAAAATACCCTCAATGAGGTGGTCTAACCACAAATTAACTAGGTAACCAATTAACATAACCAATGAATCATTTTCTCATATATTAAATGACCATGGTCTCTTTAACTACATTACTTTTCCCATTCGTTTTAACCAATAAGTTAGGGATGTGTGAAAAAGTGTTCGGACAACCCAACAAAGTCACGAGAGAGATCGATCCTAGAGAGGTTAGGTACGTAACCCAAGACGAGCACGTCCTCACAAAATGACACTTGTTCTCGTTAATTAGTTACCTACTACAAATAGCAAAACTCAAGAGTCAAGACCATCGAAGCATCATCACTTCCTATAGAGAAGTCAATAAAATGATTCTACACGTAAAAGAAACCTAAATGGTCAATAGTCATATATATACTCACGACACACACAATATAGTAAAATCAAAACGCACGTGGATTCTACAGTTTTAAAATTGCGTTACGACAAGTAGTTCAACGAAGGCCAATTATATACCTTCTCGTATAGCATAATCTTTTTTTGTCAATAAAGTCTCTCTTTTAGGTTGATTCTTTGAGATTTTTATTGGGGGATTTAGTTAATGTATCTTATGATTAATTTAGTTAATTAATTTAGTAAGTAAAGAGTTTAAGATATGTATTTTTGTTTTACGGATTTATGTATGATTATTGTAGCTTCTTAAGTTGGGTATTTTAAGGAAAAATAATAATAAAAAAAAAATTAACAATTTTCATTATTGAAAACATAATAATAATTACAAAATAAAAATTTGAAAACATATATGAGATACGGTTTATTGCATAAATAACATAAAACACAATTAATTTAAACATAATTTGTGGAATATTTTGTCTATATGTGCTCGACCAAATCGTTTTTCAATTGTTTATGCATAGCTCGATCACGAATTCGAGTTCTAGTGACCATCATATCGACAAGATTTGAAAGCATATATATATAATAGGTAAAATCCAGAAGATTCCGCATGTACTCAATCATATTCACGTCATAGCCTCTTAATCCTTCGTCTGTATCTTATATAAGATATGGTGTCATATATTTTAATTAACTTTTTGATATAATTTAACTTTCTAATTTACCTAAGATACTACCTAAACCCCCCCCCCCCCCCCCCAATGAAGATGTTCTTATATAGTTATAGGTATATGTACATAGTTAGAATTAAGACCATGCTAACGTGGCTCCATGCATGCAACACGACATGACGTAACAAAATATATATACTTTCACGGAGACCCCTTCTTTCCCCATTCTTTGTATTTAGACAAAAGCTTTTGTTCCCATGATTATTGTACGAACATTATTCCTTTGTCGAATCTTAGACCGTAAGAATCTTATGACCGTTTACGAAACTAATACGATCGACCAATAAGAGAAACTAAACTGGTCTGCCTTGACCGACCGACGTTAAAAAGTCTTCTTTTTGTGAAGTTACTAGGAAGCTACATTTGTTGCACATGTACATATATACATATGACAATCGATTTGAGAATAATTTACTTTATATAAAACCTTTGCCTAACGCCTTTTTGACAAAAATGTACATAGAACTCGGATTTCGATATCATATGCGTATAGACTAAAGACTTGTATGTATCTCTCTCATCATATAGCAAAGTTTACATACACATGAATATGTACACGCATGCCTCATAGTTTGACTATTAGTATTTTTGTATTTGTTTTACACTTTCACGCGTGCATGATCACCTTTTTGTTTTTCTTCTTTTACCTTATATATATATATCCAAATGAATATTGTCACATGTAAAACCTACATTATATACTAAGGTTCTGAGTGGTAACTATATCCTACTACAAAACCGCACCGCAACAATACTGTAACAATATCAAAATATCTACATATACATATATATCTATGTATTTTCGTTACTATTTAAACCGCACTAAACTTCTTCGCAATAAAAAACGCAGTTACCATTCGGAGTCTAAGTCAAAGCTAATTAAACAACAATTGCATTCTCTTTAGATATTAATATAAATGTTAGGAAGCTTCGTTACATTTTACTGATGTATACATTAATATCCTAACAAATTTGTAACCGTGTGCCGAAAGAGAAATCGAAAATGATTGATTATTATATAGTTTTAAAAATATGATTATCTAAACGAAATTAACATGTCGCATTCGTATGTCTTTTTCATGGACGGAGATGTTAAATTTTTCTTGAATAGTTTTGTGATATTTCATAGTAAGCCAAAACGTGCTGACTCATTTACACTCAATTTTTCCTCTTTTGAATTCTTCATACAAAAGTTATAAATAATGACAAAACAAAAAGAGAGAGTTATAAACCAATAACTAGATGGTCCACAAACTTAAAGTAAGTGCCCTTCATGGATACCAAAAGAGAAAATATTGATTTAGTGCATATATATATAACGCAGCAGAACAATATTGTATAAAAACAGTTGTATAATTATGATATGACAGCACTAATATAGTTCCAAGAGATGTTATAATCTATGCAATCATATATGTGTAGATGATTCCAACAGTTTAGTTTCGTTGATAGTAACTGTGAAGGCTTTAGCTAGAGTGTTCTTTTTTAACTTCAAAGCTAGAGACTAGTGACTAGAGAGTATACTTCTTTTGAGCATTTAGTTAGAATGGATACTTTAAAATGGACCAAGTACTGAATTTACAATAGGTTTGTATGTTTTTGTTATTGTTGCTTTTTTTTTTTTGTCATCAGCTTTTACTAATAACGCGATGGAAGGATACATTGTCGAGGTACATATTTTGGTGTAAACATTTAATATATTGAAAGTTTACAAGCCCAAAAGAAGGAAACGATAGCTCGAAAGAACGAAACGAAACTCTAAATTAAAAAAAAAATTGAAATTGTAATACCTACAAACCCGAAATTCTATTTTTATAGAAAGTTAGAGAGAAACTAATTGAAATCGTAATACAAACCACAAAATACGAAAGAATTCCCAAAAAAACTTTTAAAAAGCTCAAAAGATCGAAAACCAAATTTGCCAAACTTACTCCCTCGTCAATGTGAACAATGCTAGTCACAAAAACAATATACATCCACTTTGCAGTTAACAATATATACCTTGTGAAATTAGAGTACCTAAACAAGATATAGAGATCAAATTCCACTAATCTTTCTATGTCCATATATTTACACCTTAAAATTAATAAAAAATTGTGACTCATATCTCATTTCTTTAACTAATCAATCTTTCAACATAGATATCTCTTAATATCTCTTTGTGATCTCTTTATATATACTACAACATATGAACAAAAGTTTGTGAGGAATATACAAAAATGCTAACATGGTATAAAACGGTTAGCTTTAACATCCACTTTCATGTGTATTATATTTGGTTTGTGTATGCACTATGGAACCAAAGCTCGGAGTCTTTAAAGTATTATTCTCTTTTAACTTCTTCTAACCATATAACAAATTAAAATATCATTTAAGCAAAGAAAAGAAGAGAATACACAGAGAACGCAACTTGCACCAAAAGCTACAACTTTAGTAAACACTCATTTATTTTTTTATTATACATCACATTACCATCCAAAACCTCAAAACAACACATTAATATATCACACAAAACAACAACAACAACAACTCAATAACACCTAAAACAAATTTGGTTTAGGAAATGATATATTTATTTCAAAAACACACGATTTTAAAATGATAATTTCAGTGCTGTCGAATTTGAATTTGAGTTTAAATACTATGTTTGTAAAAATGATATAAATTCTATAACAAAATCGGTATAGGCTTATATTTGATCAAATTTGTATCAACTTCAACTTAAAACTAGGAATATGCGCACAAAGAAAAGAAAAAATAGGAATAAATTTATTTTATTATTTTTTCTTTAATTAACTAGAAAAAAAAATAATTAACATATATGAGAAATGATGTGGCAGGACAAGTACAAGAAGGAAGCTCTTTTACTCGTTGAGAGAAGTTTATAAATTGACCTCACCATTAAGTCTATTCTCATTACATTGTATTAAGACTTTGACAACTTGTCTTTCTCACACCAAACCCTTCTTCTCCTCTGTTTCTTTAATCTCCTCTTCTTTGTGTTTCATTTTAGTTTTCTTTCTCTCTAAGTCCCTAATGACTAACCATAATGCCTTAATCTCCGATGCGAAAGCCAGCATCGGTGTAGCGGTTAGAGTTTCAAACCAATCTCTCTTTTCTCCCGGAGGTGGCCGTTACATCAGCATTCCCCGGAAGAAACTTGTTCAAAAGCTTGAGGCTGACCCTAGCCAAACCCGGATCAACACTTGGATCGAAGCTATGAGGGCTTCTTCCCCTACCAAAACCCGACCGGGAAACATATCTTCCTTGCCAGAGTCTGATGAGGAGGATGAACACTCTTCTTGGATGGCTCAACACCCTTCAGCTTTAAGGATGTTTGAAGAAATAGCTGAAGCTTCGAAAGGGAAACAAATCGTCATGTTTCTTGATTACGACGGTACATTATCTCCCATTGTTGAAGACCCGGAACGAGCTTACATGACTGATGAGGTTTGCTTCTCTTTCTTACTTCTTGATTTCTCTGTTTTTCGCGGTTTCTTGGTTTTCTAATAACATTTCATTATCTCAGATGCGAGACGCGGTAAAAGGCGCGGCTAGATACTTCCCAACCGCGATTGTCACTGGAAGATGCCGCGATAAGGTTCGTAGATTTGTTAAACTCCCTGGACTTTACTATGCCGGTAGCCATGGTATGGACATCAAAGGACCTTCCAAGAAAACAAAACATAACAAGGTACTTTATCATAAACACTCATATGTAACATATATGTAGATTGATAGAGACTAACAAGTTTTTTTCGGACAAAACAGAACAACAAAGGTGTTCTATTCCAAGCAGCCAATGAGTTCTTGCCTATGATTGACCAGGTCCATTACTTTTCTCTATTTTACATACACGTCAAACTCAAGCTACTTAATAATACTGGTCTCTAACAAAATATGTTTTTGAACAGGTCTCAAAGTGTCTAGTCGAGAAAATGAGAGATGTACAAGGAGCAAGCGTCGAGAACAACAAGTTTTGTGTCTCGGTTCATTACCGTTGCGTCGACCAAAAGAACTGGGGACTAGTAGCCGAACACGTAACCACAATCTTGAGTGAGTATCCGAAACTAAGGTTAACACAAGGAAGAAAAGTCTTAGAGATTCGACCAACCGTGAAATGGGACAAAGGCAAAGCTCTTGAGTTCTTGCTTGAATCTTTAGGGTTTGCCAACTCTAAAGATGTTTTGCCTATCTATATTGGAGATGATCGTACCGACGAGGATGCTTTTCAGGTAAAACATCTTCAAAACACTATTTTAAAAACTAACCTAATCTTAATTATTATTTTTACAGATGATTAATTAGAGTTTATGTTGTGTTCAGGTATTGAGAAAGAGAGGACAAGGCTTTGGTATACTTGTGTCCAAAGTTCCTAAGGAAACGAGTGCTACATATTCTCTACAAGAACCTTCCGAGGTAATTATATAATTTTATTTTTTTGAGTTTTAGTTTATTATATACTCTCTTATTTATTATATATATTTTGTTTGAGGAATAATATTTTTTTTTCTTTTGAATAATGTTCTGATGAATAGGTAGGAGAATTTTTGAGACGGCTCGTGGAATGGAAACAAATGTCACTAAGAGGAAGATAGCCAATTTCAAGACTATAGTTTATTTTAATTAAATAAATTAATTACCTTTTGCATGCAACAAAAATTGTTGTATGATCGATGTATTTTTTTTTTGTTCCTTTTTTTATATATATATTTTCATGAATTTTACTCTTTTATTAACAAATGTAAGTTTATAGGAACGTTCTTAATTAAAAAAAAAATGTAAGTTTGCTATCCTATTTCAAGCATTCTCTTTTTAACAATCCTAGCTTTGTTGTTCATTTAGTAACCAATTAAGAGTACATAGCAAATACATGAAGTGATATTAATCATCGCATTGACTAAGTCCCAATGTTAGAAGATGTAACCATTAAAAGAATATAATTCATATCATATACTTTTTTTTGAATAAAATATAAAATTTATTCAAAAAAATATATTTTTGTACATCTAGTGCAACGTTTTCTTTAACTGTTTATAATAAAAATAACAGTAGACTAAATAGATATCAAAGTTATCTAGATGCAAACCAAGTGATCATACACCCATTAAACTTGTTGTCCCTTGTTCTTGAATTGACGAAATTCTGTTTCGGACTTGTTGGTCTAGTCTTTTCATATCATATACAGTATATGATGTAATTTTTTTTTAATTAGATCTAATTTCAAATGACATATATAGCTTATTATTTACGTAAAATAGATTAAAAATAATAATAATTGTATTCTATTGATTTCTCCTATTGTTATAATTTATAATTTTAGTATCGCGGATGTACGTTAGAAAATTAATTATAATTGATGTCAAATAAGCTTAATTATAATTATTCTTAAAATAACTTTAATGCATAATTCAATGGTGATTGTTTCTTCTTCGTATAAACAATTCAATGGTAGATCCTCATCTATATATACTCGAATTAACATATTATTCGAATTTGGACTTGACAACACTTAAATAGACATACTGAGAAAATTGATGAAAATGTACCCTACCAAATACACAATATCATGTGGAGGTACACTTTGGAACCTAAAGGAACGCAGCTTTCTTAAGAAATATTTTATTTCAACCAACATATAGCAAATGAATAAGATAAAACAAATTGCATTGTATCTAAAATGCTTTTTGATATATATAAAAAAAAAAACTGACACATACTTTATAAAAATGATTTTTGCAGGCCGTGAAAAATAGAGTCTTTGTCAAAATAAAGCTTGGACTCTTGCCCAAGCCTTAGCTTGCAAGCATCCATGTCACCAACTTTATAAACATATGTTTTTGTAAATTTTAGATATTTTTTTATCACTAGAAATATTATAGTATGGCTTGCTTCAGGTGACATGCATCAACAAGTGGAATTTAATAGAGAAATCAAATAAATAGTTATAACTCAATCTCTAATCATCTAAACTGTTGAAGTAGGTATATATGATGAAAATCCCAATGTAAAGCCATGAAAGTACAAGGCAAGAACTATTTAAGTGTATGGAGTTCTCAAGACAATTTTAACAAGTTGGAATGATGATAACAAAAACAAAAGATAGTGAAGCTATCGAAATTTTTGAACAGTTGGGATTTGGGGATACTCCCATTTGAATGTAAAAGATATTACAAGTAGTTTAGTGACCATGTGAGCTCAACTCTAATTCTTTTCTATAATATTTCATATAGCTCAATATGATTGACCACTTTTCATCTCAAGTAATTGAGTCATGTTTCTCTCCTTAATTTTCTTAAAGTTAAATTACATACATTTCGTTTTTTTTGTCAACCACACATTCATTTTTTTGTAAGAATTGTTTAACGGATTCATTTTATCAATTTTATTGTGTTGAAGTCGTAAAATTATTACAAAATTAAACCTAGTTTTTATGTGGGGAGATATCACAAATTTCAACTATAACAAATATGATTAAAGAGGAAAAATCCACTTCCTAAAGTTAGTGGATAAACAAACTAAAAGAAGAGTACAAACCAAGATGTTCTATAATGCATAGAGCCAAGAAAAGAAAAAAAGAAATTTTATAACACATAACAAAAGGTTAAGATACTTTTATCACATGTGTAAAGATCAATAAAACCAAAATAAAAAAAGAAGAAGAAATTGAAACCCACATCATTGATTTCTTTACTTGAAATAAACTAAGTGCCATAAACTCCAATTATTGATTGAAAGATATAAGACACTTTTGGCACGAGTTATACAAGTTCAGATTCATATATAACAACACATTCCCACTCTCTTATTACTATTTTCTTCACTATCTTTACCTTTACAAGTCATTTCATGTGTTCATTTCACTCACTAAAACCCTACCAAAATCTTCCTTTATACAACATATATAGGTTCTATAGGAATGCACATGTTATTAGGTATTTAGCAAACACACACACATAGATATAGATATGTATGTATCATTTTAGTTGATGTTTTGATTGGATGGTCCTAAGTTTTTGCTTTGTTATATTATATTTGGTGGTCCATAAAATTAATCACATGTACGAAAAGTTAAGTTGATTCTAATTCCTATAAGGCTATGCACTAATTTCACAAATCATTTCATTCGAGAAACATGTATCCAAGTTACCAGCATCTTATTTAAAGTACCTACACTAATCAAAGGATCGTAATCTATACAAATATTTATATTGGAAAAAGTAAAAGTAGATTTATTCACATTTTCATGATCTTTCTCAAATCTATTCGCCATTTCCAAATTATTTTCGTGTTTGTTTCTTGGCCTCACACATACTATATGCTTAAGAGGATGCATATAACATTAAACATTAGTTAGGTTATCTTAAGAATAATCATACATACGAATGGATCTTTTTGATTTATATTTATTTTGCTAGTGCACTTATCGTATGCATGACGACAGGAGTGAAATTAAGTTATAATACTTTTAAGATTCTTGAAACCTTTATCAAAATTCTTGTTACAAATTTAATGTATGTATGAATGCTTTAACATATGTTTTGTGATATTTAACTCTCGTTGATCTAGACCCAATATTTAAATGCGACATGCGACATGCAACATGCAACATGCAACATGCAACATGCAACATGCAACATGCAACATGCAACATCCAACATGCAACATCCAAACTACATATTTAGATGTTTGTTTCCAACATTAGTTTTTGCATCTAGATATTGTTTTATCGATAATTAACAGTATAATTATCTAGAAAAAACACTATATAATTTTTTTTATAATCGTCGAATCATCTATGTAATAATTCTCATAATTTTTCAATAATTACAAAATTTAAACACGACAAAAAACTTCTCGAAGAAATTTCATCAGATTTACATTTTTTTTGTCAATATACCTTATCGGCTAACGGAGTTATTTACATTTTGTATATCATTTATCATATGTTTAATTATTGTGTTTAAAAATCGTTTATAATATAATCAATTGAGTATATAGCTCATGATACTGGTGAAAACAAGCTAAGTAGTTTACATTTAATCTAGAAAGTATAAATTGGACATACCAATATCTAGTTAAGCTCCACAACCTCGAACCTATGGACATAAAACATGAGTTACATAATTAACTAGTGATAGTTGAATTAACCCAACCAATAAAATCGAGAGACTGATACAAAAATATTCATGTGTATAAATATTTTGGAGTTGATTCCAATGAACTCAAGTTAGTGATGGTTGGGATTCTTAATCCTTTTGTTATAAAATAATCACAAGTAATTATGGAGATTAGTGGAACTAATCAGAGGTTCCAAAGTTTGTGTCTGTGGAGATCACTTAGAAAAGAATATACACGTGTCAGTTTCGAAGATGGTCCCCTCCTCCTCCCACATCGGAGCTTCCGTCGATTGTGTCTTTAAAATTTTTAATTCAGATTTGGTATTGAACATTTATATTACTACCTAATGATAATATTTTTATACAACATAAACTTTAGTATAAAGAAGAAAATAACTGTTTAGCTATTTTTCTATGGTATAAACTTTAGTATACAAATATTTGTTTTGTTATTTATTATGTATATATACATATATTTGTAAATTGATATAATTTTGCAAGTAGATAGATCAATATTTTAATTATTTTTCACTTTCGTTTAAGACATCGTTTACGATTAGGCATGTCAATCGGGCTAGCCCGGCCCGAACCGGCCCGAAACCCGTAAAGTCCTCATATATGTGAGTCCGGCCCGAAAAATTTCCGAGCCTATATTTCAAAGCCCGGCCCGGCCCTAACAGGGCTACGGGGTTTTTCGGGCTTTACTTACCGATAAAAGATAATCAATTTCTAAGTTCATAATAATTTTTCAAAAACAATATTTAAAAGTCTACTATAAAAATAATGCATCAAATTTTAAATAACTTATCAATATTCAATAAAACTAACTTAATTTAAGCGAAAAAAATGAAAACCAAATAAATTGTTTACACTTTAACCCAATAAAACATGGAACTAAAATACTTTAAAGTAGATGATAGAGTCAAAATTTAATATATATTTTGATGATTTCAAAATCAAGATACTTTAATATATTTAGTTTTAGCTTTGTTCAGTTTTGACATTTAGAAATAATAAAAAATATTATAGATAAAAAATTTATAAGTAATAAGTAAGGCTAGTAAGTAAATATGAAAACTAATTCATTAATCAAATTTTCTAATCAAACTAAAATATTAAAAAAATTCAAACTATATTTGTTTAGAGTTTTTTGGGCCGGCCCGAGCCTGATCGGGTTAAGCCCAAAAAACCCTTTAGACCGAATGGGCTTAGCCCAAAAGACCCGATTTTTTCTGGACATAAATATTTAATCCCGAACCCGATGTTTTTCAGGGCCGGGCCAAACTAGCCCGCGGGCTTTAACCCTAATTGACATGCTTATTTACGATAAACCAAGTATTGGATGTATTTAGTGAGTTACCACTTCGACATTTATAAATGAGAAATTCTCTTAGATGCCATCATTTTAGGTTTTTCTTCTAAAAATACTATAATTTGTTTTCATTTCCAAAAATACCACAAAAGTTTTAATTTTTCAAAAATATTATAAACATAAAAAATTGATTTTTGAAAAAGAAACACAAGTTCAAAAATTCAAGAAATACAAAGCATTAATGAAGAAACCACAAATGAACAACTTCTCGTCTTCTCTTGAGAACACAG